AGCGCGGCGCAGCGGCCTGCTCCAGCAGCTTCTGGCAGCTGGCAACAGTTGCAGCGGAGACATCAGCCAGAGAGTTAGCCAGCACTGTGACCAAGGGTGCAGAGAGAGGAGGAGGCAGAGGTGTTCAAAGTTGGTGACAAATGCACCATCAAAATGTCACACCTGGGCATCCAAAACAGGTTGTTGGACTCAGACAATTAGGATGGATCAAGGACCAGGGGATTCTAATGAGGATAAAGAGCACATTCCATGCAAGTGAAGTGTGTATGATGTCCTCAGATAAGAGAAAGGGAAGTTTTGCGTTTTGAGATCCTGTAAGTAAACCAGTTCAAGTGATACTTCATTCACTCATTTATGCATTCATTCCTTCTATCGATACATTTATTGAGGGCCCTACTATGCATCAGGGACTACGCTGGGAGCTAAAGGCACAAAATCTACTTGGAAACATAAGGGATGCTCCTAAAAACACAGCCAACCAAAAGAGGCGGCCGGGGAATGCAACTTAGCTTGGCCTTCAGGCCAGCACAGTGTTCTGTCTTGTTATGACCCGTGAATGCCTACCAGCTGCCTCATAAATTTACTTACCCTGGCTGGAAGGCATTTGAGCTTGCAACCACTGGACTAGCAGCTCTAGTCCCTTGTCACTCTAGTAGTCTTCTATGTACTGCCAGGTTATGCATGTTTAGCAAATGACTACTTAGCACTGATCACAGCAAGGACACATGCTGAGTTACTGGAAGGAGAAGCAGCCACGTTTGAGTTGAGCACAGAAAACTAGGAAAGGGGTGGACAGGCAGAGAGCTGAGGCGAGGGCACCCCTGCAAGCAAGGTTAACCCCAGAGCAAGGGTGAGTGTGACGTGAGCATAGTGGTTTGGAAGCACGGGGTATATTCCCGGAGGAGAGGGGAGACCAGCTTGGCTTAAGGGGAAAGTGCCTCTAGAAGAGAAGAGGAAGACAAGGTGGCAAAGACCCTACAAGAGCTTTAAGCTGACATCTGAAGAGAAGAAGGCAGGCGTGGCTAGTCCCAAACCAAATACAGTGCACCAGTTGCCTCTGCCCTTTCAGCTATAAAATTAAGAATGAGTAGCTTAAAACCTAAGGAAGGCATAGGCAGGAGAAAAATCAAACCTTAATGAAATGTGGATGCTATGGCCCTGCAAGCAGAATGACGTTATTCCCGATTATATGAAACTGAAGCACTATAGGGCCACAGAAAACAACACAGTGAAATATCCCAGCTGTCCAACAGGAGTGTGCAGGTGATAGTGTACTGATTAGGGACACAGGCTGACAATATGCTGACAAGAGGAGGGAGAAAATCCTGCTACAAGTAATATGTTTATTAGGGTACTATCTAGGGATAGAAACAAACATGTATAAATGCACAGAAAAACTGGAAAAAGACACACTGTCTTTACTTCTGTGTTTTCTAAGAGAAAGAAAGAATTATTTAATAATAAAATAAAAGTAATAAGACTACCTTCACTTTGGGTGAATCTTTATATTTTCCAAAGTTTCTTCATAATATCTCATCTTTTACTTATTTAACTTGTAATGGCCACTATTAAACTATTCTTCTGTCAAATGCCTTCATGCCAAGCTATCTACCTATTACACAAAATCCTGAGATCCATCTACCTACCTCCAAAAGGACAATCTTGCCACCAAAAGACCATCTTCCACCAGTGCCTTTGCTAACAATCAAGGAACTGGTCTTCCCCCATTTGATGGAGCAGAGACACATAAATCCATTTTTATAGCCAGAGGCTTTTAATAAGTAGTTTGAGGATGTGATGCTTCAGTTAATGATGTGATGTGGTGAAGCAACATAAACCAGCAGTTAAACCAGGGGTCTGAGCCACAAGTCCCAGGGCCTGAGTAAACCTGTCTGGCTGTGTGACGCTACATACCTGCGGTAACAGTTCTTCCTAGCGCTCGTCCTGCATTAAGAGTCCCTGGTCACACTGCTAGCTCCCCCCCGCCCCCCACCGGCCATGCGACTCCTTGGTAACAGACCCTGATTTTCAGCCGGGCCCACTGTCGCCCAGCATAAAAGCCTCCATTTCAAACCCAGACTCCTATGCAGCTAGCCACGGCCAGGTGACCGCGGCATGTTGGCCAATTAATCCAAGCAGTTGTGTCACACTGGACTTCCGAAAATTTAATGACCCCACTCAGCCACGTGGGGCCCCTTTCCCTGTGCTTCTGCGTCTCCTCCTTCTTCAGGCCTGTGACTTGGACCACGCAACTGGGACTCCAGCAGCCACCCTAGACCACAGGCCACAATGAGGACGCAAGCCATGGTCTGGGATGACGGGGTAAAAACTAGGAGCCTGGGTCCTGATGGCACTGCAGGGCTGCCCTAAAATCCTCCAGACTCATTTTCAAAGACAAATAAGTATATATCTTGGTTTAGCCAGTTATTTTGTGTTGTTTTTTAGGCTACACACAGTCAAATCTAAACTTAATGCAGATTATATATCAACATAGGATACCACATGCCATATACAGTTCACTGTCAGTGAACTGCAAATGACTTTTTAAAGTAGGTGACCAGGATAATAAAACATTTTGATAAATCACTTTTTACTGAACCTTTATAACGGCGATACATTTACCACCAACTACTTTCTCTTTCCCACAAAGACATACTCTTCTCTCTTGGTTCAAAGTCAACTAACACATATAATTCCTAGTATTCTGCCCTCACATGACAATGACCAAAATCCAATTCTCTGAAACCCCTAATAAAACAAGGGAAACGGGCCAGTGTTCCTAATTCTACAAAACACAAAGAAGTTATGACTCCCAAACTGGAGGCAATGGGCAAAGAAGTGGCATAACGTTTCTAAAATGATTTTCAAGTCATGCACACACCATAATGGAACAAGAACAATGGTATCACCAAGGCTCCTATTGGATATGTACAATCACCGGCAAACATCCAACAGCAGACAAATTTCAAGGTGCCACCCCAACTCCCATGTGAGATTGACAGCAGACATGAACAGCAGCACCAACCATGCACATTTCTGGGCATTGTCTTGACAAGGTCCTTTCAAACACTGTCCTATGCATAAGTCCAACTCCTGCCACAACACGCTGCACCTGAAGGCTCCCCCTTGGCAATCCTAAAACTCACTTAAGGACAAAGAAAGGGCCAGAGCTTTGTCTCCTGGATTACAGAATGACATTCAGGTCTCTTGCCTTCTCCTACAAACAGCAGAACTTTGGCAAGGTAGTTTTCCTTCTTCCCAAGAGCTTAGACTCCCAAATGCAAATCTCATAAAAGGTAAAACCTTGTATGCATAGCTTGAAATTATACTCAAATTCAAAACTTCATCGAGGAAGTGTTAGCTTTTACAAGTCTATTATCCTAGCCCAACTTTTTAAATGGGCTCGATTATGTAACATTACAGCACTTTGCCTAGTTCTCCCAGCATAAGGATATAAGAAAAAATAAAAGAAAATTCAGCATGACTTTCACACTTTCCACTAACACATTTGCTTTTTACTCCATCATCCAAAGCAATCTCTAAGCAGAAATTATTTGAAATGACATCACCAAAAGTTTTAATTTATTTAATACACTTAAAGAATAGAATTTTGGAGGAGGGATGAAAACAACCATATGATAAAGAGATAGGAAAATGCCAAAGGGAAAAAGAGAAACCAGATTTTATTTTATGGAACTTAAATGCTTCACATGCCTCCTATCTAAAATACATATCTAATATTCCATATTCTTATGAGGAGAAATTTTTCTATTATTAAGGGGGAGAAAGGCACAGGTGGAAGAGATAAAGATAATAAAGGCTATTTGAAAGTAAAGTGAACAGTATATTCACATATTTATAAACCATATATGCTTTAAAAATGTCTAGAATGATATGCCAAATGTAATAGTTGTTCTAAGAGAAAACATTATGGGTTAACTTTCTCTTTTTATCTGCACTTTTTAACTTTTCTACAACAAACACTACTTACATAATTTTTAAATATATTTTTTAAAGTAAACAGATTCACAATAACATCAACAGAAAAGACACACATGGAACAGCTTGGAAGAAAACAAAGTCTGAAGGATTTCTAGCCTCAAAGCTGAAGGATGCAGAGAGGGTGAAGTCCCTGGGGCCCTAGCCACCCCCAAAGTCCTTCAACGCAAATGCCCTCCTCTCTGGGACAGGATGCTCAAAGGATTTTAAGCACATACCATTAAGCATCCTCTCTACCACTCGGTTAAGGCAAGAAGGAGCACACACTGCCCCAGAAGAGAAGCATATTCCTACTCCTGCTGAGTCAGCCAGCATGAAAGTATGCAGCTTCTACCAGCTCACCATTTAATTATATCTAACACTTACTTCACAATCCAGTTTATGGGTTCTGGATGTTTAATAAACAGTTACTTTTCAGTTCCCTGCTAGTAAACATTAGGTAGGTATGCAATTAATTAATACCACCCCTGGGCTACCAGGAGGTCTGTAATGCTACCAGCCAGGTCATGTTCTCCAAATGGACATTGCCACCAAATCGGCTCGCAGTTTAAACAATACTCCTCTTCTCATAGTCCCTTCTGTGATTGGTTTCTCAAATTGAGGTGTTTAGGGGGGAATTCAAACAGGTGGTGTAGGTTTGCTTTACCTGTTGTTCCACAAAGAGGAAAATCCGTCTTATGATTACATATAAACTTCCCTCAAGTGGAAAAATAAATCTATGTGTTTTTTGCACAGAATATCAGAATTACACATTGCCAATTTTACTTGCTGATACGAACTCTAAATTACATCAAATCCCCCAGGTACCTCATTCCTCTCTTCCTAAACAAATCTCTCCTGGCACCCATCCCCCACCCCCACATCTCAATGCAAGGATGGAATGTATTTGAGCAAGGAGTTTCACTGCCCACTAAGGTTCCACTAGGAATCCACTCCTCCTGATGCCACAGACTGAGTCTGCAACTGCTCTTAGCCCCTCCAACCTGTCTCTTCATACTCACTGTTGCTGGACTTAAGGTCACGGTGGATGATGGGGACAATGGCCTCATCGTGTAAGTAGTTCATCCCTCTGGCAATCTGCACAGCCCAGTTCACCAGGATGTCCGGGGGAATCCTTTTCCCAGATAACACTCTATTCAAAGGCCCTCCACGAGCAAACTCCATGACCAAGCAGAGGTTGGGTTCCTTCAGACACACCCCCCTAAGGGCAATGATGTTGGGGTGCTTCAGCATGGCGAAGAGCTTGGCCTCTTGGCGAACATTCTCTATGGTCTGGCTGATGTCCTCATCGGGGTCATGGCGAGCTGCTTTCACGGCCACCTCATCCCCTATCCAGAAAGCACGATAGACCTTTCCAAAGCCCCCGATGCCAATAATCTCTTCCAGGGTTAGCTCCGCAAAATCAATCTCTAACACTGAGAAAGGAAAGAAAAAAAAAAGAACGTCAAAAACATTCTGAAAACACCATTGCACCGCCCATTTACCTGGATGGTAAGCCTAGCAAGTTGTCTGTTCACTGGGCCTTTCTGTCTCCCCATTATAAGGTAAATTCCATAAGGGCAGAAACTGTGAATAAATTATTTTCGTGTGCATTTTCCTTAGTGACTAGCACATAGTCACTAAGAATATTCAATAAATATTCATTAAATAAATTCCACTTGAAAAATCATGCAGAATCCTGGACCAAGACCAACCACTTTAAAGGGAACACTGGGGGAGATCCTTTTTGTGAGACTTATTCAGCTTTACTGCATACTCAGTGTACAAAGCACACAGTCCAGTGCCAAGGCAGACACACAGCAAGCAAACCATAGTGTAAGAAGAGCTTCTGCGGAAGTATGACCAGAGACTTAGGAAAATCACCAACTCCACAGCAGAACAGAGGACTGAGAGGGTTAGTAGGGAGAGGATTCTCAGGGAAGGCAGCATTTGACATGGGCCCTAAAGAATGGGGGGAGGGATCTCATCAGGCAATAAAGGAAATCAGTGTGGAAAAGAAGGACAATCCAGGCAGAGGGAAGAAAAAGAGCATAAACATGGAGCATGAGAGTATACGGTACACTAGGAACTCCAGGGAGTCCAGTGCAGCTGGGTTATATGCATCGGGACAGGAGATGAGGCCCAAAGCCTTGCTGGGGGTGACCAGGTCATGAAATATCTTTAAAGCCATTCTGAGGGTCTTGAACTTCACATTGTAAACAATAGGAGGCGTGCATCTTTCAGAAGGGGAGTGTTGACAGACCTGTATTTTAGAAAGGAAACCAATACTGGCACACATGTAGAATATAACCTACAGGACAGAAAGCCTGCAGCAAAAGGAACCACTAAGGAGGCCACTGCAGTATGTAGGTCTAAACCTCACCAGCAATGAATACGGGAGTACGGGGTCAATTTGGGAGACTTTCAGAACTTGATTCAACCAGGACCCGGTGACAGAGATATACAGGAAAGAAGCCTCACTGGAGACATCTCACTCCAGCAGTTGTCTGTACCCCAGTTCAATCGCTGACGTTGTCACACCAGCCACTCACTCTCCTTCCCAATTCCAGCATTGGAACCCAAGGCACTTGATTGTATCTTTAGCTCTGTTTGGAAAGGCTTCCATGGACAGATACCAGTGATCATAAGTGGGGCTAGATGTGGTGTTCAGTGCTGTATGAGCAAAGTGAATTTTATGTTTCTCTCCTGAAACCCTGTTCCCTATCTTTTTAGTCTCTTTTATCTTTACCTGGCTAATTTATACTCACCTCTCAGGGCTCAACTTAATTATCAATTTCACAGAGGAACTTCTAACCCCAAGACCAAATGAGGTCAAGTCCCCATCAAACACTTCCGTGGAAGTTTCCATTTTGCAAGATTCATCAAGGTTATAATTAATTACTTGTTCAATGTCTGTCGTCCTGCTAGATTGCATGATCCACAAAGGCAGAGATTCCCTCCACCTATTCACCACTGTACTAGCCACGCCAAACATTTGGTGACCAATAGATTGTTGAAATAAAATGAAAAGAAAAAAATCTATCTCAGTAGGAAACAAACCAAATTCAGATCTGGAAAAAAAAATCGAATTGGACTTTTGGACTTTCTGAAGCAAATATAGAGACTGATCACACTTTACTAAAAAATTAAGAAAACAAAGATATATTTCTGAACTTTTGGCAAGACCAAAAGAGGAACTGCCCACTGCTGGCTGTTCCCTTCCTTACTTAGTCAGCCCCATGACGCCTCCATTCTCCACTCAGATGCTGGTGGTGCCAAAAAATCTGTTCTTGCTTAATTATAGCACTTCTATCCTATATGGGGTTAATATTCATGTGTATTTCATTATGCAACTGGCAGTCTGCACAAAGGAGACTCTTAGGAAAAATTAAGTGGATGGTCTTTAGGTATACAAAAAATATAGTTCATCTTGACCCCAAAAGTTCCAATCATTCAAAAGGTTACTGCCTCGTCTAGGAGTCTTCCTGAAGAATAAATGGTGTGGCAGATATTGCAGACTAGCAATCAGCCTCCATCCCAAAATCCTCCCAGCATGCCTTTCAGTACTACAGAGGTCACAAAGCTAGAAACTACATTTCCCAGCCTCCTTCACAGCTAGAGTTCTGAATGCGAATTAAGTTCTGCCAATGAGATGCACAAGTTTTGAAAGGCAGAAGTGAGATGACAACCATCTTTTTGATGCTTCCCCTGGCAAGCAAGGCTGTAGAGAAGTGGGATTTTTCTACAATACTATGTCAGTGTCCAATCACTAGCTCTGTGGATGTGGAGAGGAATGTTTCACGGCCAAGTGATTGCCTAATCTCTGGGCTGCAGATGCAACAGGGTGTTCTTGAAGTCAACAGCTTCAACAGCAGCTCCTGATGCTGGACCTTCCCAATCAGAGAAGCAGCAGCTTGCCGGGTAGGCCGGTTCTGATGCTCTGGGAGTTGGCTGTATAGGTCCAGCTGAGAGTCTCTTCTCCCAGCCCTACCAGTGATTCTGTAAGTACCTAATTTCCTGTGCTAACTCCCTTTCTTGCTTAAAATAGCTTGAGTGTTTCTGAGTCCTAAAATGAATCCCAACTGATTACTAATTTTGCCTGATGTCATCTGCATGAATGAGAAAAATATGTCTATGTTAAAGAGAGATTAGAAATTGTCTCAGAGGCTGGCCATGGTGGCATGTGCCTTTAGTCCCAGCTACTCAAGAGGCCAGGGCAGGAGGATTGCTTGAGGCCAGGAGTTTGAGACCAGCCTGAGCAACAGATTGAGACCCATCTCAAAAGAAAAAAAAAGAAAAAGAAAAATCAGAAAAACCCTCTCAGATAAATGTATAACTGAAGAGTCTCCTCGGTCATGGAAGGAAGAAACAGTCATTTTTTTCCTGCCAGCTTTTACATTGATGAAAAGATGGGTGACTATTTAAAAATTTGTATTTGTTATCTTATTTCCTCAACTGAGTATTTAAATTCTCCTTAAGAGAATTAGCTGTTGTATTTTCTCTTGTATTCTTCCCTTTTTCTCTCTAGTCTAAAGCATAGTGGTGAACACACAGTAGGTGTTAAATATTTATTTAAATGCTGGAGTGTTTAAAAGATAGAATTCAGTACTAGAGTGCTGAAAGGACAGCTCCTCCAGAGGATTTCACAGAAGACAGAAAACCTCTGTGGGGAAGGGAAAGCAATAACCTCTCTTTGGGTAGAACATAACATCTCAGGTTCTTGCTATTTAGTTAAAGAAATACTACGACTAGCCTCCAAGAAACATATAGAACACAACTTTCAAATAGATAAAACCCAGGAAGAGAAGAGGGAAAGGGAGACTTTCTTTTTCCTTCTCTACTAAGTCCTTTTGGATAGGAACTAAGGAACTAGCCCTTCGGTTGCAGCAGAGTATGTTCAGCTCTCCTCCCCTTCCCTGCTCCAGTCAAGACCTGGTTTTAAGTAAGAATCAGGTCGAGTTGCATTCAGCACATTTTTCAGTTTATGTGGAAGGATATTTCCACAAATATGAGGAACAAAACCATATTTCTTGCATTTTTGGAGTCTAGATGTGATTCCTTCCCAATTGTATGCTTGGAAACTGAATGAATGTATAAGCACATTCTGGTGGGTTTGGAGCAAGTGAATGGTATACACCTTACTTCATTTAAAAATCTTACGTGTATCTGAAAACACATCCTTATATTTCTAGTGGATGTAGGAAAGAGAAGTATGAATTAATAATAACCTTAATGTATGCCCTGTTTGAAAACAGACACAACTCTCTTATAAGAGAAATTTTTTTAACAGCTAGAATTATGTCTCCCAATATGATAAATTTGAAACCGTACATTTTTCATCTTTCACTAAAATAAAGAGACAAGTGAGCCCCTGGGTTATTTATATTTGTCATCCATAGAGAGCTAAATTCTCATACATATCTATATTGGAGGGGATAACAGCACTATATAAATGTAAGATGGTTTATAATATCACTATTACATGTTTTCTTTGTCACAAAATTTAATAATTTCCCCTTCTGTTTTGAATAAATTTTGAAACAAAATTTTCACTTCAAAAAGCAATAATATGAAACTAAAACTGAACATTATTGCTTAACTTAGTGTCTTCTGTTTATGATCCACGATATGTCACAATGCATGCCCAGAGGGGAAGTTCAAAAGGTAACTCTGGGGAAGAGTTGTCAGTGGTTCAACTTTATTCCAAGTCTTTGGAGACCAGGTTTGTCAATCACTTTTATTTTCTGAGTGATACTAACTGAACTGGTAGACAGCGCATGCAGATCAGAGATGCACCTGTCAGCACTGCCCACGTTCATCTTTATCAAAGCACTGGACTGAAATTTTATATTTACATTACCAATCTCCCTTATGTGACTTTATGAGCACCTCCTTATCTTATCACTTCTTTATCCCCTGGTATTTAACACAGTACAGTATTTATCATTCATGGGGTACTCAATAATTAGTTTCTGACTGCAATCAAATTTTCTGAATTAACAAGAATTCATTCCAGTCAAGATCAGAACTCCTGCTGAGGCCAAATAAAAAAACTTACCAGGGCTTTCAAATGCCATACTCTTCAAGTCAATTCTTTCAAAAAGCACGAAGTACTTCCTTCTTTCTCATCATCTGGGTTCCACATTTAGGAATCCACTCTATCCAACTTTATTGTAACTTTTCTTACAATAAAGATAAGTCCTGGCCACCTAATGAAGAAGGTGTTGCCATGCCTGGCTCTCTGTGGATAGTTTCTCTCAGCCTAAGTCATATGAATACTCCTGACTGCTTTGACAGCAGGAGCACAAAGTGTTAAAGAAACTGAGTTTCTGCTCACTAACCTCACAGAGCTCTTCTACTCTGACATAAACTATCCCTAAAAACAAAATCACAAAACTTCACCCACAAAGAACCTCAAAATCAGACTTATGTTTAAAACTAAACAATGTTTTCTAACATGCCAGACTATTCATATTTCTTCCAATAAATGACTAAGTTCATTTTCAATACTATTTCAAAACACTATGCCAGGACCCTTAGCCTTGATCTCACCAGAACCAGTATCAAAATGATGGAGTACCTGGAAACAATTTAAAATAATGTGTTACCTCCAGGCATCATAAAGATCAAAATGCAGAACTGTGAGGTTTTAAATTGAACGAGAGGGAGAAAAAAAGGGAACTAAAGATTTGAACATCAATTTGACAGTCAAAACACCAATAGAAAAAGAAGATCAGAAAAACAAGGAAAGAGGTTATGATTTTGATATGAAGTGGTGGTAAAAAAACCATCTTAGATAAAGTAACACAATTGTTCAGGTGAAAATAAGTTTCAAGGCCAGAAAGACAACTGTTAAAATGAAATTTTAAAAAACTAAATATTTAAAGTTGGCCCTTGGTAACGATTTTTTTAAAAAATCAACTAAGATACAGAGTATACAAAATAAGGAATAAACTGTAATAAATATATGTTAATAATATCTTTTTAACAGGGAAAAATTATGGAAATTCTCAAATACAAAATGGTGTAAACTGCGCTAGTAGATATTTACATCTTTCTTCTGAAACGACCTAGTATAATTGATTAAGGGATCTAATGGCAATTTAACTTCTTTGAAAGAACAAAAAAAATTTCATTACAGGGTGTGGAATAGGGGCCTCCTGGGAAATTGAGGAAAATGAGGACACTGGGAGAAAGGGCCTGGGAGGGACCCCTGGGCATAGACCCCCTGAGATTTGGCCAGTTCCAAATATAGGCAAGGATCTAGGGTGAGAAGAAAGGAGAAAATGTATTGCCTAAACAGCCTGGCTGCAAGGGACGGGGAGTTCGCCAATGTACCTTGTACTCCTGATCTCTCATGGGGGACCGACATACTTTTCCCTCTCTAATCATGTGTCCGCCCATCACTTTTTTCCCTCACCCCCAACACACACACCCTTCTTAGCACAACTTCTGAGACACAGGATTAGGATCCAAGAAATCAACACCTTTTAAAGGCACTTCAGCCTGAGTTCACACATTTCCCAGACTTCAGGATCAGCACAGCCCAGCAGGAGACACCCCCTCCCCTTTCAAAGCAAATGCCTTTAAGGGGTGGAGACAGGTGATAGAAGAGGTTGGCTAGGTCCCGGATTTGGGGACTAAGGTTAGGACAGTAACCACCAGCTTGCCAGAAATCCTTCGAGACTTGGGAGGGGGAGGTGGGAGGGCAGAGAGGAGAGGAAGAGGGTGGGAGATGGGGAGATCCTCTTCCTGGGGCTTCAGGATGTGAAAATCAGAAGCTGCTGTTGAGGTAGTCGGATGAAGGTTAGGAAGCCCAACCGCCCGAGGTTCCAGGCAGGGCCTGCGGCGCCTCTAGCTTACCCATTGCACCAACTAAAGCCCCTGCAGCCCAAGCGCGCGCACACCCACCCACACCCAGGTCAGGCATTTCCCCACTCCAGCCCCTCAACCCTACCCTAACCCTAGCGAGGGCCCCCTCCCTCCCGGCCAGCCCTAGGCCTCCCTCATTCCCCCCACCACGCCGGGGTGCCGGCCCCGCCTTCGCCTTACACTGAATGGGCGGGTAGCAACTGGGGTCCTCGCCGCCGGGCTGGCAGCGGCTGGAGAAGGCGCTGCGCGGGGTCACGTAGTTGCTGGGGAAGATGCCCACTCGCTGGTTCAGCTGCCCGGTCCACCAGCCCTCGTCGCCGGACACCTGCGAGTCCTTGGACAGCACTTCCACCACGTCGCCCAGCCGCAGGGTCAGCTCGTCCTCTCCAGCCGCCTCGTACTCGAACACCGCCGTCCAGTAGGGCAGCGGTGCGTCGGAGCCCAGCTCCCCGGGGACCGCCGCCGCCGCCTCCTCCTCCTCTTCCTCCTCCTCCTCGGCCCCGGCCCCCGCTCCGTCCTCCCCCGGCGGGGCGGCAGCGGCGGCGCTCGCCAGGCAGCCGAGAAGCGCTCTGGAGGGCTCCATGGAGCGGCCGATCCATAGGGTGCGGGGCTGCCGCCGCCCGCAGGAGCCGCCGCTGCCTATTGTTCATGCGGCTCCGCGGAGCTGGGAGGACCCCCCTCCCGCGACGGTGGCCGCAGGTAGGGCCCGGGCTGGCGGGGCTGGGAGAGCCGGCTCGCGGGGCTGGCGGGGCTACGAGTGCGCCGAGCGCGAGTGCTCACTGCAGCATAGTGGCGCGGCGGGCCGCAGTCCCCGCCTGCCCGCTCGCACCCCCGGGGCGGCCTCGCCACCTCCGCCTGCGGTACCTGCTCGCGCAGCCGGTGCCCGCCGCCGCCCGCCGGCCACCGCTCCCCTCTCCGCCCCGCGCCGCGCCGCGCCGCCCCGCCCCCAGCACCGCCCGCCGGCCGGGGACCACCTGACGTGGGCCTGGCTCCGCCCCAGCCTGCGGACCCGAAGGGGCGCGGCCGCCCGGCGCCCCGGCCCGCCCCCCGCGCAGCCCGCCTTCCCATTGGCCGCGGCCGGCCCGTGCACAGGTTCCTCTCGCCGCGGTTGGAGCAGCCAGGCCAGCCAGCCAGCGGCCACCCCGCAGGTCCCTCTCCACCCACCGCCGCTCCGGCGCGCCGCCCCCTCCCGCCGCCTTTGCGGGCTCTTTCTCAAACCCAGGTCGACCCATGTCTCTCTCCCATTGGCCCGCCGTGGCCCCAGCCATTGGTCCGCGGTACCTGTCCATTTACCGGGAGAGTTCAACACCTCCTCGCAGGAGGAGGCGAGGGCCTCGTTGGATGCGTGAGGAGGGAAGGGAAGGGTGTCCCTGAAAGGTAAGGCCGAGCCTTCATTCTGACCGAAAAGGCTGGAGAGGAGGCCGCTCCCTTTGTTCGCCGCGCATGGGCAGGGGCTCCACTGGGCAGCACCGGCGTTCTTCAGCGCAGAGGGGCTTCTGAAAGTGAGCAGAGGAGGAGCGAGCTGGGTGGCACCTCCCGAGAGCGCTTTCTTCCCCAGGTCCCGTTTACAGTTGCATTCTCCCCTCTCCAGGATCTGGCTCTGCCCCAGCCAACCTGGTGGATGAGCTTCCGCTCCCCGTCCTCACGCGCACCTCCCACCCCGAAACCTTTCGCCTCCTATGTGAGACTTAGGCTCATCGGAATGTTTATTAGAAGAACTCTGAAAGCCACAGTTCTCGGCTCTCTGAAGACTGCACACGGCTCGCCCTTTCCTGGGTTCCTGTAAGAAGAAATTCCAATGCCATCATTTTACTAGCATTTAGAAAGGCAAGAGACCGTCTTACTGGTGCTTCAAGCTGAGACTGGGAACGCTGTCGTGAAATTGGATTGGTCTCTGAAAAGAATCAACTTTTTCTACACTCCCAGAGTTTCTTTTGCCTTGTGAATTGCACTTCGGATCATGGTGACGCCTATAGAGATCAGATAAAGAAGAACCAAAACAGAATATATATACAAAACGATCCTGCAGCTCTTGAGCAAGGGCGGACCTCTTCCTACATGCCTTTGTTATACACTAAGAAAGAAGGAGATAGGTGGCCTGTAATGTTTCTTCTGTGCTTTAATCCCGTCATAACAATGTCGACTTCCAGTAAGAGAGGGTCTCTGATATTTCAAAACAAGCCAGTGCTGATGGATCTGTCCCAATCTCTACCAAACTTTGTTATTTTTTCCCCTTCAGTAGTAGGAATAGACGCGATTTATTTAGCAAGAGGTAGTGCTTTTGCTTAATTTTAGTTTGGGGCTTATTATTAGACAAACTGAAGACAGGTGGGCAATTTGGAAAAATTACCAGACAGCTGCATGCCCCTGGGAAAGTGCTTCCAACACTGTATTTTAGTCTGCTCATCCTTAAAGTGAGGGCAGTGAACTGGAAGATCTATGTTCTCATAGCCTGCACATTCTGTGGTTTACACACAAATATGGCTACACTGTATACCTAGGCATCCCACACATTTGAGGTCCTATAGAAGAGAGGGGAGATGACTGGGCATTCTGGCTCATGCCTGTAATCCTAGCACTCTGGGAGGCCACGGTGGGAGGTTCACTTGAGGTCAGGAGTTTTAGACCAGCGAGACCCAGTCTCTACAAAAAATAGAAAAACTAGCTCAAGAGCGAGACACGGTCTCTACAAAAAAATACAAAAACTAGCTACACGTGGTGGTGGTGTGTGTCTGTAGTCCCAGCTACTCAGGCTGAGACAGGAGATCCCTTGAGCCCAGGAGGTGGAGGTTGCAGTGAGCTATGATGGCACCACTGCACTCTAGCCTGAGCAACCGAGCAAGACCTTGTCTCGAAAAAAAAAAGGGAGACGAGAGAATGTTTTAACTTGGGGGGGAAAAGTTTTATGAACTGGGTGTAGACACACAGAGAAAAACAGAAACAGGAAAAAATACTAGAAAGAGAAAAATATCAGTGGTGGGTCTCTTTAAGTAGTAGGATTATGAGAAATTGGGTAATTTTTATTGTCATTTTCTTATCTGTAATTTTGTTGTTCTACTATATATAGTTTTGTGGATTCCCTCCGCTCCCTGGGAGAAGGAAAGGTGGTGGGGGGAAATCCTTGATCCCACTCAACAGGAAAACTCTAATTCCCTGTACAACTAAATCTTTAATATCATAGCTTATGTTTACAATCTCATGAAGAGTCATTCATCAAACATTTCAACAAGTCATTCAGGAAATATCTGTTGAATGCATAAGTGGTAGGAATTCAAATGAGGGAAGATCCTTCAGAGCAAAGTTGTCTGGAAGGGCTTCATGGAAGAAGGCCAACCAGAACAGGCCCTGCAGGCATCGTGGGTAAAGCAGGGAAGAGTCTGTTCAGGAAAGGAGGGAGGAGGTGGGCACAGCCACAGAGGTAGGAAAACATGGAAAGGTGGGCCCATTTGGATGGAATAGAAGGATGAGAAAGAACTCTGAAAAGATAGGTTGAGACCAGATTGTAGAGGGCTTGTAATTTCTTGATTCATACTAGTAATTATGTAACTGATTATTTGTAATTATTTAATGTCCAATGTGTTCACTATAAGGGTGGAGACCAGTCTGTCTGGTTCTCCCAGCACCTAGAGAGTGCGTAGCACATAATTGATTCTCAGTACATATTTGCAACTGGATGGCACACTTGAATACCAGGCTAAGAAGCCTCCGTTTTGTTTAGCAGATATGAAAGGTTATAAATGAAAGGTTTTGAGCAGGGCTGCAAGGTGATCAAATATTTCCTTCACTGAAGACTAGAATGGATGAAGAATGGATGAGAAGATGCTTACGCTGAGCATTGAAGGATGTATACAACTTGATTAGTAGAAAATACAAGATGTGGAAATAGAAATTAATGTAATGGGTAGCAATAATAAAAATCCCAGCCAGAGAAGAGGGGAGAATGCAAAAAGGGAGTGATGGGAGATAAAATTGACCAAATAAAAGAATGGCAGATTGTAAAAGATTTTGAAAGCCATGTAGAATTACCAAGATTTTGCCACTATTAGGTTTTGAGCAGCGTGTTGACAAATGTCACCCAAAAAGGAACATTTTCTCTACCACACTGAAAAGTATAGCATAAGGCAGGGAGAAAATAATAGCAATCAGTGATGCAAGCTGGCATTAGACTTAAGTCAACAGATCGTGGTTTATCCTGCCTCTGTCCTTTAAAAACCGTGTGACTTTGGGCAAGATACCTGTTTGAACCTCAGTTTCCTCATTTCTAAATAGGTGTAATGATAATAAAACCTGATTTTTAATGGATGTTTATAGGGTTACATGAGGCAAGACATACAAAAGCTCTTAGCATGCTGCTCACACCCAGTAAATATTCAACATATTTATTTCCTTCTTCCATCTGCCCATTACTCTCAGAAACACCATTTAATTGCACCCTAGAAAATGGTAGAGGCCTCTTGACTGGAAGTTGGATCTAGGGTTTTTCCCTAAAAATAGAGAGAGAGAAGAGGAAGAGAGAGAGAGAGAGGAGGAGGGAAGGAAAAAGGAACAAAAAGGAGAGGAAAAGGGAAAAAAAAGGAAGGGAAAAGAAAGGAAGGAAAACAGGGAGGGAAGGGAAGGAGGAAGAAAAAGAGAAACAGACAAGAAGGGGGGGAGGGAAGGAAGGAAAGAAAGAAAAGGTAAGCATCATAGACTAATAATGAAGAGTCAAGGGTCTGGGACCGTGACTGAATTTGAATCTATGCTTACTGTGTGCCCCAGACCCTCATCCAGAAATTAGGGATAATAGTATTTATCTCCCTGGCCTCCTGGAATGATTAAATGACACAATGTATGTAATGTGCTTAGCACAGAATCTAGCATGTGGTTGCTGTTATTATTATTATTTCAGTCTAAAATATGACTTAATAAATGAATGTCACCCTCTCCTTGGTTGTTTCAGGAAATATTTCAAATTAGTACTTTGATGCTAAAATCCCTCAAGCAGATGTTGACCTTTTCTAAAAGAGCGAGCCCACCCCTCTCACCTCTCATGTTATATGCTTTCAGGAAAGGAGCCCAAGTTCCTGGTTCCTAAACTCCATTTGCATTAAATGTGATTTTAAGCAACTGGTTGGAAAGGGTATATGCTGGGGCTAAGGGAACTGAAGTTTTGGAGTCAAACAGACTTGAGTTCAAGTTCCTGATCAACTAATCATGACTCTGGATAAGGCACTTCAACTCTCTGAGCCTCCGTTTCATTATTGGTAAAATGAGATTGTGTAAAATGGGGTTGTTTTGAAGGTCAGATGAAGTAAGGGTCCTTCTGGCAGTGCCTGATATTAAATACATAATAGGTGCTAAATATATTAATTGTAAATGTTCTCATTGCAATGGATAGCATTTTAATTCTTGTCTTCTGTGAGTTCATTTGGCTTGAAACATCAAAATAGTAAGAAATCGTCCCTCCTTTTCTTCTTCTCCTTTCTGTCTCCTTTGAAAACCTCAGTTTAGAAAAGGAATAGATTATGGGGGACTGATTAGAATATCACATCTCTGGAGCTATTTGCATTTTAACATGATCAGAGCCTTTAATCAAGGAGTGAA